TAAAGTATGATTTATTGTCCTGTTAATACTTGTAACTTGACGGACTAAATTAAGCTCGGATTTATTCGGATCGCCTAACGATGAACCGAAAAATTATACGCACAAATCTATATTCTTAATATGAGTTCCTTTTGCTCTTCTCTTTACACAAAATGAAAGCTACATCTAGATCAACCGCTGATTTACAGTTCTTTCCACGTTAGATGACACACTAATTTGTCTTTAGGCAACTTAGGAACATAATAACTATCCTTGCCACTCAGAAACCCCTATACCTAATTTAAGTATATTTTTTATATTGCATAGCGAAAGAACTACATTCATCAATTCTACCACCATTAAATGCACGAGCTAATTTATATCTAAGGGCTCTGAATTTGTGCGAACAAATTCTCAGCGTACCTTTATCTGATCCGGATAAATCCATACTGAGCTTTTTGATATATGACGCATATTTCTAGAGCCAAAAACCATCATTTACACAAAATGATTCCAAGACTAATTAATTCAACTTATGTATACTTAGAATTAACTTTTGTTGATAAACCCTAATTCATCTGATAATTCCATCATTGCTAGTAACTCATTACTCCTCTTATGCCTGAGCGATTTCACTGACGGATTGATACTTCTTGTATTCAATTTCATAATTTTTAAATGACACAAATGTATTATTTTTATGTGCAGATATTCTAAGTAACCAAATATTTATTTATAACGAAGGAAAAGCTACTTCTTTCTTTCATGTCTCTTCTTTTTTTAGACTAACAAAGAAGGTGTTGTAATGGTTACTTTCTCTACTCCAGAGGAAGCTGATTCTGCTATACCCTTCCTTAATAATGCACTCTTCAGCTATCCATCTCCTTGTGGTAAAATAAACAAGGTTTGAGAACTATTTTAGAAACTACTTTTTTGCTAGTTTTTCTTCTCTTTATCTCATATTTAACATATAGATTTAATTACTCATGCAATTTCGTCCCAAGTTACAATACAAATTCTTAATAGTTTTTTGTTTTAGTTGCCGTAATCAAATTAGTTCTATTTTAAATACCGTTTTATTGGATTTGTAATTAGTAAAAATAGCTGTGCTTATTTCGTCATTTTTGATAAATTTTAAGCAGCATTACATAAGATACGAAGACTTGGATGGTGTGGCCTTTTTGTATGGTCGCGGTCTCCTTTCTTTGTATAGAAGTTGTTTGACCGTGTTTTCGCAACTTGGTCATATTGACAGGAAGACCTAGAGAAACGCACATTGTCTGGACTCCATAGTATGCATGATAATTTCCAGTGTCGGACCGGACTAGGTGCGTTCCTCAGATCCTCTTGCCAATATGACCAAGTTGTGAAAACAAGGTCAAACAACTTCGATATACTGTATAGTAAAAAATCCTAGACCACCATCAATAAATGGTGGTCTTTTTTCGTAATTTTTAACTAAAAGAATGAGAATCTTTGTTCATTTGATAATTTTTAAGCATCATTACATTATCTTATATTACTATGTTTGTGTACTCATGTTTTTATTTTCTCGCTAAAATGTGTCATTTTTCCGTTTATATGTAGGTTTTCAAGACTACCAGTTTATCTAACATACAAACGGAATTCGATCTGTTCCGTTTAAGGTTATAATGTACTGGTAGTTGAATCTTCGCACAATGATACTAATATGATTGATGCTTCCACTGGATTTCACATGGCATTGCTTCCTAAAATATGTTCTTATCCAGAGTGGACCAGGTTTTGATCTTAACTAGGTCTCGTCACCACCCTAAAATGGACTATATCTCGGATTCTATAGCGTATAGTCTCGATACGATAACCACTAGGCCACGTTTCCATGATTACCATTGCCAAAAAAAGAAGTGAATTTTAAGGAAGCCTTAACCTCGGTGATGTATTCATTGCAATCGGCAAATTACTTCTTTTCATTTTATAAATTTGATTATAATTTGAATTTTATGGAATAAAAACCACAGTATTTTCTCAAGAGAGGTAGAAGAGATGGCACTGGAAGAATGTTTAGTGAAGAAATCGAGATATGTATTTGGATTGACATAATTATTTTAAGGGATATTAGTTGCTGGGATTGATTTCGCTTGTTCCTAACCCCTTGTATTGCGCTGACCATGATGATAATTACTGTAATATTAAGCAATACGCTCGTTATTAGTTGTTTCTTGATAGCACATGAACACAACACAACCTTGAGAGCACTTCGACTAATTCGCTAAAATAAATTTAGAAGAAGTCAAAATTATAATGATTTTTAAATAAAGATTGAGAAATTCTTTTTAACAAATACATATTGCACCATTTTTTGCAAATCAAGAATTGAACCAGTGTATTAAGTCGTGTTTCTATTTTTACTTCATTTCTTAAATGAATATGATTTTTCACTTAGATTCGCCAACTGGAAGTTTCTCGTTGGGATGGAAAGACTCAATATGCTGGCACAGAAACTGAGGCCGAAGCTTCTGAACGACTGGCCCGATGGAGTGAATTTATAGGTGATTCTGAGGAAGAAGAGGAAGAGGACGATAGAAAAAATCAGGGCCTATCCCATAATACAAAAACATCTGCCTGCTCATCCTCAACAGATGCCTCTGGAGACAGTTCTCCTTTAGTAATTGCTCCAGAATTACATTTGCCTTTAGAAACTTCTCAGAATAGAGATAATGATCGTGAAGAGGAAGGTGATCGCGATGATTATAATGCTAAAAATTCTGATAAATTAACATCTAATTCCAATGAGACGTCAAAATCTCGTTTTAGTCCTGAGACAGATAACGAGATTCGGCTACCTCATTCACACGAAACTGTTGATCTTGCATCTACCTTCGATTATGACACTGATGAGCTTGAAGACCTGGATCGGCATAGTGGAGCAGAGACAGATTGATTATGACGATAGATTAAGCTCTGCTGACTACCACATTTCTTCATTCTTTAAATGGTCTATGTAATTATATTTATCATTTTTTTACCTATTAGCTTCGAATGGCTAAACTGTAAATCGAATGGATCCTCTATTTTAGTTTGCATACCTCTTCATGTCTTGGATTATATATATATATATATATGCTCACTCTTCATCACAATTATTATTCACAATTTCAATATCGTTTGTCCTCATATTAACCTTTCCTCCGGTACTTGCATTTTGAGATTAGGCGGTCTCTTGTCTCCAATTCATGTGTACCTTCTCATGTTTCCTTATAATATTCATTTTTTAAAAATATATAACATTGTAAAAATAGTACTCATTATTATTGCCTTGCTTTGACTTGCCTTGCAACTTGGTCGGAGCGATAAAGAGACATCTTGAGACATACTACCTGCCAGCCACTTTGCCACATTTTTAAAAATTATTTCCAGCATCGGACTGTCGAATTGACACATTCACAAGGAATACTAGCTTAAATTGGTCTGTGTTTGCCACTTTATGATGAAATTGTATTAGCAAAGTAATTTGTTATGTTTGCAGACGGCAGAGGAATGGCCATTGTATTGTGCTAATAGTGGAGACAATATTTGCTCGCATCTGATTTAGTCGTATTTCCAGACTATGGATATTATATTGGTATATATATATTTTTAGGTAATTTGTATCTGCAGAGTCAGCCTGAATAGTTTGTTGTGTATCAGTCAGATTTCTCGCAAGATCGGCAAATGATGCGCTAGGTTGGTAGGGGCAATAAAATCCTTGGGCAATCATAGTCTACATCAGTACATCATTTCTGACTTAATACAATCAATTTTGAGTTTTTTGGGGGTCCTTATACTCGGTAGGAATGAGGGCGAATCATCAGACAATTTGTTCGGATTGCTCTACCATCTTAATCCTTTTCAGTCCTAATAATTTAGATAGCTAAGTAAAGATTTTCTATTCGAGTTGCTTGCCTTTGTCTATTGTGACGGCTCACAAAGTACCATATCTGGAAGCAAAAAATATGACAGGTTTTGGAAAATACATGTTCAGAGTTGGAATGAAAGTCGTGAAACAGTCAGTAATTGCACTTTTCTTTATAAGAAAGGGGACCCAGGATGCCTTTGTCTATATGATTGAGTATCTCGGAAACTGAGCCAAAACTGCCAATATGTGTCTGAGTGTTTTTGTGTAACTTGTCACATGATAAACCGGTTTACCTCGTTATCACAACTTGGTCGTGTAGTCAGTGGGGCTTGGCTGGACACTGCTTGTCCGAAGTCTTCTGATATACTGGTTATCACAAATTCCAGCATCAGACTGTGGACTTGGTACGTTCTCACTCGTTTGCCGGCATCATCAGTGAGACTTGCCAGTCTCAGCAACATGCTGCAACTCGTCAAATGAGCAAGGGATGTGAATTCCTTTGACAAACTTTCTACCGAAATGGTTTTGCTATCACTTATTTATGTCCTAGCCCATCTATCTACTCCGTATCCTCATCGCATTCCCGCAGTATCGCAATTTTTGACTTGTTTACATTTCATTCGTCAAAAGGTGTGCCCTTTTTGAATAGTTTAGTGTGGTATCATAACATGTGCTGTTCAAATTTTTCCCTCTGAATTTGCTGAAATAAATAGAGCCCCCTATCCAGATCTCCCTAAATGTGCGGTAGATCTGTTTCTTATCTTTATGGTGACTGATTTCAGTAAGCTCCAGCCCAAGGGCACGCATACTCAAGGCTCTGTTTCTCAATCCCGACAGGCCGCAAAGTTGAAATCGTTTATTCGAGCAGATTACATTAGCTGAGATCGTCTTCCTTTTGTTTCGGAAACTCACCTACCCTTTTACTCGCGATCCATTTTCCTCTGGTTAACGATATATCCTTGAGCCAGGTGTCTCCCTTTTGTTGGTCTTGCCGTAGCCTTGTTTTATCTAAGTTTGCTTAACCAATAGGCAAAGTTATCTCTAACTCTATCTTCCTCCAATCTCCAAATCTTTTAATTTTGTACCCCAATTACTTCAATGACCTCCATAATCTTCCGTTTCCTTGTGCTTTCATTGTATGATGCCTTTTTCTGCTGCCCTCCACTTAGTCTCGTGTCCAGTGTCTGCGTTGTTTTCCGCTAGTTCTGATCTTTCGGTATCCTTTTTTCCGTAGAGCCATTGATTCGTATGAGATTTATCTGCTCGCAGGCGCCTCATGCTGTGCAGTAATCTTCCGAGCAATCAAATTTGTCTACTCTCATGTTGCGTGGGTAGAATCGTAAAGGGTGCTGTTTTCTTTTTCGATGTCACCCGAATATTCCGTTTTCTTAATATTGCCTGCAGTTTTTGAGCTATTTAAAGGCAGGGAGGCGCAATTACTTTTGTAAGCCTCCATATCCTTACTCTTCTTTCATAACGTTCGTCATGCCATTGGCTGATCACCTCACGTCTGTTTTTATGTATTACTTTTTTCGTGTATCCGTTGCCGAGAGATATCCTAGTTAACTTTTCCTATTCTTTCTCAGAGAATTCCATGTCCGTTGATCATAGGCTTCTGATGCTCATTCTCCTTATTATTCCTATCTTCTGTCTGTTGTTGGGTTCAGACATAATTAAGTATTTTCTGGCATATGACTTTATTCTGAATAATTTTCTCTTGAGCGTTCCATTAGATCTATGACTTCAATATCCAGAGCAGTTAAATGCCTCTCTTCTTCTACTACCATCGTGAACTTGATTCTTTCATCAATTTTGTCTATATTCTTTAGGAAATCATCAAATTGCTCACCTTCCTCTACTTCCATTGTAAATTCAATTTTTTAATTAATCTGGTTTATAAACTTGAAAAATCTTCCATGTGAGCAAAGTGTGAAGTAGTCGTCCAGGTAACAAATGTGCATCCATGACATATTGAAGTTCTCTTATATGTATACGTTTGCCATAAGCGGTGAGAACGGCGATTACATAGGTTCTCCAAATATCTGTCCATAGATGTTCCTGTTGAATGTGAAATCAGTAGTCCTTATTTTCAAGTACGCTAGGCATGTTAATGACTCCCATCTATTAGTCTCTGTTTCCAGGATATCATCATCTTGGTCCGATATTTTCAGCAAAGCCTTGAATGTATTTTCCCAAGAGATATTTCTATACATGGATTGAAAATCAAAGCTTACCAATGAGTCTGTTTCCTCCAGTGCAATGTTTTTTATTATTTGAGAAAATTTATATGACTGCTTCACTATGTTTGATAATTTGTCATTTAATTTTTTGATTTTCAAACATTCGAACATTAACGGAAAAATACTCTATTTCCTTTCCCATCATAACTACAAACAGGCTTTATCTCACTTATCCATGTCTGCTTGTATTGTCGGCAAGAAAAAACGGTCTGCAATAAACTTTCTCAAGACTCCTGTCGGAATGTACCAAGTTTTGTATGATACGAAATAATTTTTCTGCCTTAATGTGTCACTAGATGCTGATATTTATTTGTGACACGTGGAATAAAGATTTAATCCATCATCGATTTTACCTTGTGCAGAATTCATCCTTGGCCATGTTTTAGCCGTCTCTTGACTGCTAAATCCTCTGATTGTCAATCATGCTTATGTAGTCAATACCTTCTATTTCTGGGATGTCTCTGAGTTCCAAACAGTACGGTGAATGTGAGTTGAGGCGACTTTTTTACGCTACTGAACAGTTGTGAAATTGAGCCTTTAGTAAAACGTAAACTGGGCACGGAATCGAGAGTAATCGGTTAACAATAAAGATAAGCAATGCATTTACGGGCCCTCGAGAGAGATTAAAATATGAGACACGAGTAGGATCTGCAAAGTAACAAGGAGAAGAATACACGGTAGTTGGCAGTTCTATAGACGCCATGCTAAATTCACCAAAAAAGGCCATCAATCGGTATGATGAATCTAAACATGTCAAAAGTTGGGAAGAAACGTTTATGAGACGATTGGTTGGACATAAAGGACAGGTCAGGAGAGAAAGAGGGTTGATACT